GTGAGGCACCGCGGGTGCGGCGCAAGCATGGTGGATAGGCTTGAGTAGGCTGAGGGCAGCACACGGCCGTCAATCCATGCAACCCGGAGTGGCCAAGGCAGATGGTCGTTGGTGAGCAAGGGACCTGCGGCAACCTCTGCGATACGACCTCGACACACTGAGTGCTCCACATCCCTCCTGCCGGTGTCCCGAGGTACCTGGGGGACCCCCAGGTATTTATACTCCGGGCAGACGCGAATCTGCTGGCCATCCGCTAGGCACAGAGATGCCGGCCCCTGGAGCAACTCCCCCCGGACTGCAGCGGCCCCTTGACCTCGCGGGTCGACAAGAAGCTCAGTCTTCCCTGCTCCCAAGTTAACCCGAAGGCGAAACTCAGAGAAGGTTTGTAGAGTAATGTTGCTCATGCAGCGGGCTGCTGGTGGTAGGTCGGCAGCACTCTCCACATCCGCAAGCAACACCAAGTCATCTGCCCAAGCGATCGGGCAGACGGTGGCCACGGGCTCCCCCAGTGCAATTTGCAGGGCGCCGTGACCAACGCCCGCATTCTGTAGCCGTCGACTGAGCTCACGGATGAGGCAAGACATGACAGCCCCAAACAGGACATCGGCCAGTCCGTCGCCAGGCCTGCTACCACGCGCCGCAAGCACGGGCAGGGAGTCTCCACGCAAGAGCCAGCTTGAGCCCGTCACGCAGTCCTGCAGCAGGGCCATCTCGGCACCAGGGACGCCTAGTCGAGCGAGTGCCCCTTCGTCGAGGAGTTGCTGAATCCAAGGTAGAATGGTTTCGGCCTGGGGCCTGCGGTCACCTGACCCACCGAACAACAGCTCCCGGTCGACCTCATAGAAGGCCGCCTGGACATCAACGAAGAGGGCAAGGATCGAGCGTCCGGCGCTTTGTGACAGGCCGATAGCCGCCCGAAATGCGGCCAGGGCATACCCAACATGCATTCCCGGCCGTCCCCCTAGTTGCAGTGGTTGATATGCGTCCACGACACGTCTGCCAAGGGTATTACGAAGGTGACCATGCCAGAGCTTGGCCGCGCCGTTGAGGAGGACAATGCTACGGTAGTTAGCCGGCAAGTGGGGTGGGCCCTTTTTATACAGTGCGCAGGCCAACGCATCCTTAAAGTCAGCTGGCGCCCTACCCGACAGGGCCATTTTAGCTTGCAAGAGCCAGACCCACCGGCCTGCCAGCGCTGGCTGGGATTGCCAAAGGCCATTGCGGATGCCATCGGGCCCGGGGGCCTTGCTGGCCTTTTGTCGGCGGCAAATGGCTTCCGCTTGCGCAAGGGTCGGCACAGCAGCAGGACACGCAACCGAGGGCTTGGCCTGCCAGGCATCGTGATGTTGTTGGAGCTGTGCACGAGTGACGACTGTCCCTGCTTCCTGGGAGCGAAATTGTTCCCGCAGGGCATCCTGCATGTCATAGCCCCCCGCAGCAGCAACACGTCGACGGTCAGCAGCCCGTCGTGACGCCCAGCGGAGGTGGAGGAGAGCCTGGTCAGGCCGTCCCGTAGAATGCCACTTGCCGATCGCGCCAGATAGCAATGAGTGCAGGTGTCTCGCCTTGTCCCGGCGTGCAAGTTTGGTAGTCAGCGATTTGAGCCGGCGCTCAAGTTGAGCCAGCTGGGCATATCTGCGCCATATTTGAAGCCGGACCTGGCCATTGGCGTGGCGGCCTCTCCTCCAGGCCTGGAAGGCACAAACTTGACCGAGCTGCTCGGGGGTGCCGCTTGCTTGCCACCACCTTTGTTGCCCTTGTTGGCCTTGCCGCTTTGGTCTTTCTTTGGCGCCATAGATCCGTGGTGGGCGTTCAGTGTCACACGATCGAAGTGGGACGAAAGGCCAGCCCTGTACCGCTGGCGCGCAAGAGATCTCTTGCGCCGCTGTCGGCGGTGCCACGGTGGGGACGGAAGACGAATTGAGCGGGACCTCGGTATGACTGGAACCAGTGACCAGAAATGCCGCCTCAAGGAGGAAGACAACCACACCTGCAAAGCGCGTGGTTGAAGGTAGCCCAGGCATATGCAGCCGCCAGGCCAAATTCCGATACCCGCCAGCCAGAACCGGTAGGGTAAATCACACCAATGAAAAAGAGATGAATAATGGGTCGGCCCAGTGAAGTGCAGCGAGCCACCAAACAGAGCTCAGAGAAAGGTGCAGACACCCACGTCAAACACCGAAGTAGGCGATGTCCACGAAGACAATCGCCCGCACCAACCAGTCGACAGAAGGTGCAGCGCACAGCGGATCGCGGAGCGAAATTGCGTGCTGGGGTCGGGCTAAGACAGCAAGAAGCCAAATCGCGGGTACGAATGGCAAAACGCTGGCAGTTGAGCCGCAACACCTGAACCAGAAACCCTGTAAACCCTAAACCCCAAGCCCCCAACCCCCGCCCTAAACCAAAAACCCAAAACCCTAAACCCTAAACCCCAAACCCCAAACCCCAACCCCAAACCCCAAACCCCAAACCCTAGACCCTAAACCCTAAACCCCAAACCCCAAACCCCAAACCCTAAACCCTAAACCCTAAACCCTAAACCCAAGCCCTCCCCCCCCCACCCCCAACCCAAAACTCACACACCTCGGGCTCGCGGGTGTCTCCCGCCGCGTGGTGCGCGCCGCGCCCGCGGAGGAGACGAGGAGGACGGAGCCGCGGGCCACCTGGAAGGGCTCTCCAGAGCCCTAATTAAGGGAGGGTTTAGGGTTTAGGGTTTAGGGTTTCGGGTTTCGTGTTGAAGGTAAATACTTGATAGCACCTTTAGACCAGGGCCCAAGTATATACCATGTCGGTAAGTGGGCCCTTTCGGTAACTTCGCGGATTTCGGGCTTGGCTAGGCCTTGATTTGTTGTTGCTTTGTTGTCATTTGGGTCTTGCTGTTTGCTGTAGGGTTTAACTGGGGTACAGGTTTTATGAGCAGCCCCCGCCATCAATTCTCCCTTAACCAGATTAGCAGGGTACATAAACCCTAAACCCTAAACCCTAAACCCTATGGGTCCCAGGTGGTTTAGGGTCTGCTTGGGGGACTCAGATCTGCTGGATGTCGCAAGGGCGCAGGAAGGGATGAGTTTTTTGAGTTGTAGGTGGCCCTACTGTGGATGGACAAAATCTTGCATGACCCCCTACGTTACACGTGTGCGACGGTTGGTAATCGAGCTCCCCGCACCCCTCGAATGTCAATGTTGTGCGCGCATATGGGTGATGCAGGATGTCGGTCATTCACACACATGCACTTTCGAAGCATTGCAAGGCCAGCAAAGTCAAGATTCAGGGTTTGCAAGGGATGACCTGCGTGATAAAAGTGATGCAGGAATTCGTCCATCAACAGTCTGGAGACTGGCAAGTTTTCGGAAACTCTGGTCTCTAGTCACGGCTGACCCAAGTCAACTGAGGGCCGTATGTGAGGGGCCAGGGTGGGGCAGAAAGTCCGAAATGTGGTATTTTTCAAGTTTCAAATTGTTTCCATATTCTCAAATTAGTTTCCAATCAGTTTCAAATTAGTTTCAAAATCCAGTTGCAAAATCGCTGGTAAGGGGGAACTGCAATTTCTGTCCGTGCTTTTTGAAAACCAGGAACCTCTGAGATTCCATTCCAGCAACAACTCTTGCCAACAAGTCAGTCAATTATCTTGTCCGAGACAGTAAGTGCTAGCCGGAAGAAAGCCAAGTTAGGTTCAGGGATTCAGGCTCAGGGTTTAGGGTTCCAGGGTCTTTGTTGCGGGATTACAACTAAAATTGGGCTACTAAGTACTCTGATCCTCAAGTAAACCCTATAAACACTAAGACACCAAACCCTAAACCCTAAACCCTAATCCCTAAACCCCCTAAAATGGTGCCAAAGCCGCCGTCACCCTTCCGTCGGCGCTGCCCTCGCGAGCGACGAGCCGGGCGCGGGGCGCACTGGAACCGGCTCGTGGCGGTGCCCTGACTTGTTTAGGGTTCATAGGGTTTAGGGTTTAGGGTTTGGGGTTTGGGGTTTGGGGTTTTAGGGTTTAGGAGTTTCCGTGGCGTATGATACAGGGCATATAGAGCTTTATCAGGTTTAGGCTTCGAGGTATTCAGGGCGGAGGTCGTTTCACCAGCTGCACCATGAGCTCTACTTCTGCCAGGCTTTCCAGGGCTCATGGGATCTAGGGTGCAAGCAAGGCGATTTAGGGTTTGGGGTCCTAAACCTAAACCCTAAACCCTGAACCCCAACTTTTGGGACCCAAATTGTCCTTGCGAGAAACACAGCCAGCCACAGACTGGAGTCCAACAAAAGTCATTTCACGAAAAAGCATCGATGCGGGCGTTTAAAAAAAAACATCCTTCGAGCCGTCCTTCGATTTTTTGGTCATCAAAGACATCATCAACACATTCATCGGTTGGGGCATCAAAAAACAAGTAAAATCTCGAGGAGGACCTGGAGGTTCAGGGTACTTAGTAGCCCAATCTAAGTGTAGTCATCACCCACATATAAGCCCCTTAAATACCCTAATGGGCTTATGATTGGGTGAGAAGTACAGTTATTATTGGGTTACCAGGTACGCTGAACCTCAAGCAAAACCTATAAACACTTAAGTACTCCAATCGGGTTATGATTGGGTGAGAAGTACAGCTATTATTTATTATTGGGTTACTAAGTACCATGAGCCTCGAAGGAAGGAGGGTGGCGGGGTGGCGAGGGAGGCATGGGGGGGTGACAGGTGGCAGGATCGGGGCGCGAGAAGTGAGACTTCCCCTGAGCCTTCAGGACCAAATGAACCCTAACATTGAAATTGGGGCCATGGACCCTACTTCTACTAGAATTCCTGTTAAGGTATATGAACCATAAACACAATTAGGGTTCATTTGGTCCCCAAGGAGTGGGTCATCGAGAAATCATCGACCCTTCAACCCGAAACCCTAAACCCTAACCGCCCCAAAGAAAACGAACCCTAAACCCTAAACCCTAAACCCTAAACCCTAAACCCTAAACCACCCTAAACCCTAAACCCTAAACCCTTCTCTGGGCCCCCGGACGGCAGCGCTGGAGCACTCTGCGCAGCGCGCCGCAGCAGCCGAGGACCGGCTGCCTACCAGGTAAGAAACGCTAAGTTAGGGTTTAGGGTTTAGGGTTCAGGGTTCAGGGTTTAGGGTTTAGGGTTTAGGGGTTAGGGTTTAGGGTTTAGGGTTTAGGGTTCGGGGTTTAGGAGTTTAGGGTTTAAAGGGCCTAGGGTGTAGCGTTTAGGCTAACCTAGGAGAAAACAGGGCGCCCCCGTTGGGTTGGGGTTTTTGGGGTTTGGGTTTGAGCCCAACAAAGGGAATAAGCGACGGGGTAACCCAGAGGGTCCACTTAGTCGAGGGTTTTAGGGTTCACCCAGCTGTTTTGGATTACATCCTGAACCCTAAGCCCCACCCAGCTGTGATTCCTTCGTGTAATCTTGCATTCAAACCGGTTCTTCGGCTTGTACGGCAGGCCTCAACATGTTTTGTGACAGGTTCTATACGAGGGTGCTTCATGCCCTGCATGACGGGGTCGTGTGGAAAGGTTTCGCTTAATCATGAAGAGGTTGGGGGTGGGGGGTTCAATTCTCAAACCCTGATACTCTAACTCCTCTAGAGCCCCAAACACGTAGATTCTGAAATCCTGAACTCCTAAATTTGAAAACCCCAAACCCTAAACCCTAAACCCTAAACCCTAAACCCCAAACCCTAAACTCGATCTTGTCTTGTCTTGCAGGTGCTCCCGCCTCGCTGCCATCGGGGCCGGACACCACGCGGACGTCGCGCTCGGAAGCAGACACAACCTGCGGGGGTGCCGAAACCCAAAGCCCTAAACCCTGAACCCTAAACCCCCAAAACCTAGACCCTAAACCTAAACCCTGGGGGTTTAGGGTTCAGACTTAATTAGGGTTTCGAGTCTATCGATTTCCGGTTTAGTTGTTTTTTGCTTTCTTCTGTGTGTGTGTGTGCGTGTGCGTGTGTCAGAGGCTTTAAGTACAGGTATCGGGTTTCAACTGTTCACGGATTGTGCCCTACAACCTGACCGCACGTAGGGCAAGACTGCTCTGGCCTGTGGCCTTTGGCAAGTTGTTCAGTGAGCACACGAGACTCTAAGTATAAATTGCACCACCTCCTAACGTAGAGATGGTTCTATTCTGAAGACAAAGGGAAAGTCACCGCCACATGCACGATGCCCATGGTGTGGAATTCGGTTCCCCAAGCCCCGCCCTACGCCTATCATAGTAAGAGTACTACAGGTACTACGTGGTCCCTGTTTCATACGAACCCGGCCCGCCGGATTTTGACCCCTTCAGGACTCGGATCCGTCAAAAATTAGCAAAAAAATGGGAAAAAAACTATCAATAATATTAAAATCCAGTAGCAATGTCACAAACACAGATAAATTCGTGAATTAAAGATGAAATTAAAGTCAAAATATCATTAGATGTTGGATAAAAATTGCTAAAAATCGTTAAATTTGGACAAAAAAGGGTACTAATAGATGGGTGAGTCGGTCAAGTCAGGGTTCACGGTTTAGGGTTTAGGGTTTAGGGCTTAGGGTGACACCGCAGAATCCTTCCTCGTGATTCTGGAACTCGCGTGCGCGCTTTGGATCTCCGCGCATCTTTGATCTTCTTGCTGTCTTCGGGTTATAGACCCGATACCTCATGTTCATGCGGTTTACCCAAAGGCTCCATGTACCCTTATAGTAGATGCCTAGGCCTTAAGGTACCCTTATAGGAACCCCTTTAAGGCCTAGGTATCTACTATATGGGTACATGGAGCCTTAGGGGTAGGTTTGGGGTTTAGGGTTTAGGTCTCAAAAACACGAATATAGAGTTGGTGTGTGTCTGTGTGTGCGCGCCCTACAAGAAGGAAGCTTCTCGAAGGACATACTCGAAGAAAAAATAATATTATGTCCCACCGGCCGCCTACCTAGTCTGACAGTCATGAAAAGCCCATCCCTTGATTCTACCTACTTCACCTATCTATTAGGGGGGAAGTGTAGGGACCCGAAACCCTAAACCGTAAACCCTGAGAGCCCTAGAGCCCACAAGCCCTAAACCCTTCAAACCCTTGAACCCCTCAACCCCTAAAGCCCTAAGCCCTAAACCCTAAACTAAACCCTAAACCCTAAACCCTAAACCCTAAACTCCGTAGTCGCCGTGCCGCCTGCCGCCTTCTGAAGCCGTCATCCGCCGTGGGCGGAGCAGAGATGACCCGGGGCTTGACCAGAGGGCGCGCCCCTTTTCGGGTTGTTTGGGGTTTGGGGTTTGGGTTTAGGGTTTAGGGTTTGGGGTTTAGGGTTTGGGGTTTAGGGCTTGGGGTTTAGGGTTTGGAGGGAGGTAGGGTTTGGGGTTTATGGGTTGGGGTTTAGGGCTGATTCCTGTGCCAGGACGGGCCCGCCGTCCCCCAAATACCCTTCAACAAGGGTCGAAGTGAACCTTACACTCTTCTGGCATTTCTGCTAAAAGCATAGAATATCGCATGATGGGTTGCTGGGAACTATATACATGTTGTGCTGCAGCCCCTTCGTTCTCAAGACACCAGTTCCTGGTAGGGTTTAGGGTTTAGGGTTTAGGGTTTAGGGTTTAGAGTTTAGAGTTTAGGGTTTAGGGTTTAGGGTTTAGGGTTTAGGGTTTAGGGTTTAGGGTTTAGGGTTTAGGGTTTAGGGTTTAGGGTCGGGATGGGGTGCGGCCCCGGCCGACAGGGCAGCTGCCAGCACCGCGGCCGGAAGCTGAAAAACTGGCCCGAGCGGCCGAATGTAAAGGGTTTAGGGTTTAGGGTTTAGGGTTTAGGGTTTAGGGTTTAGGGTTTAGGGGAGGTCCAGCGCCATGGCTTCAAGCAGAGGTCTCCCTGCTTCGGTCCTCCCTGAAAACGAAGACGGGTATAACTTGGGATGTTCCCCCTGATACTACCCTAAGGGTCCATGTACCCATATAGTATATACTTGGGCCCTAAAGCTACTATATGGGAACTCCTTTAAGGCCCAAGTATATACTTTATAGGTACATGGACCCTTTGGGCTAGCAGCCCTTAATACGGACTCTAATAGGGACGGGAGGGGGGGGGGGGGGTACCATAATCTGTTAGTGTAAGGGGGGACAATCCCAAAGTACAACTGGTCGGCCGGGAATGTGTTAACATTGCCGCAGCACAACAACTGCTTTTCGGAGTGCTGACGTCGGATGCTGTTTCGGCCTTTGCAAGAATGACCAAAACGGGAAGCTTTCAAGACGAGGCACGAGCGTGGGAAGGAAAAAACCTTGACACCCCTCGATATAGGATCTGAAACGCAAAGGCCTTCTCAAAAAACAGCGTATAAGCAAGAGTATAAATCCTATAAAACTCAATAAAACCCGATAAAGCCCATGAAACTTTATGAACTCCTATGAACCCTAGGAAACTATGAAACCCTATACAACCCTATAACACCCTATGAAACCCTACAAGTCATGAAGCAGGAATCGGACAGACTGATCCCGAGGTGACAGACCCTAAGCCCTAAACCCTATACCTGTTAGCCCCCACCCCCATTGGCGGTTTTGGGTTTACGGTTTAGGATTTAGGGTTTGGGGCCCTACTAGCGAACCCCGGGTATTGAGGGTATCTTAACGGGTACTTGTAGGTACACGACCCCACAGGAGAGCAACGTGAATTCCAACCTCAACGATCTAAGCCCCAAACCCATCTAAACATCTAAACCCTAGCCCCCCCCCACCCCCTCCCCCTCTCAGCATTAACCCAAACGCCCTCGGCACTAGAAGTTCCCCTGAACCCTAAACCCTAAGCCCTAAAACCCTAAGCCCTAAACCCTGAGCCCTAAACCCGCCTTTTCGGAAGCCCTTTGGTGCACCACTGCCGGCGTAGCTCGCGGGAACCTCAGCCAGCCGTACGCTGTGGACGGGTTTGGGGTTGAGGGTTTAGAGTTTACGGTTTTGTCCTAGTAGAACCCAACGCCCGAAAAACCCGATAACCCTGAGTCATACACATATGCATCGCTATATTATTATGATGATTTATTATTACTATTATTAATATTATTACCATTATTATTATCAGTAATATTATGAATATATATATATATATATATGTATGCGTGTGTGTGTATGTATGTATGTCTGTACGTATGTACGCATTCTGCCAAGGTGCCACCCTCCTGGGCGCCAGCGCAGGCTTCAGCGCAGCGTTGGGCGCCGATGGAGGGCGCCAGCGCTTCCGCATGGTCGGGGCTTTGCTGATCCCCTGTAGAGTCACCCTAGGGTTTAGGGTTTAGGGTTTAGGGCCTATAGGGTTTTGATCCCTTGTAAAGCTACCCTATACTTCCAGGGACCTTAATGATTGATTTAGTCCTTAAGGATTCTTGGGTTTAGGGTTTAGAAGGAGGGCCCCACCCCCTAGTTCTGAGTCGTAAGGATGCTAACTTGGGTTATAAGGATCCCAACTTGGGGTTTACGTCGCTTAACCATCGTTCATATAGTAGGGGGGACCCTCCTTGTATGGAAGGTCCAGATAGCCAGATACCCTCGTCAAAGGAAATATGTACCGCAGCTTTCGGGGGTGTAGGGTCTAGGGTTTAGGGTAGAGGGTTGAGGGTTTAGGGGCCAAAGGGATGTAGTGGGATGTAGCTTAGTTAGCGGTTCAGGGTTTAAGAGCGTGATGCTTTTATGGACCTTGGGGTTGCTTTGGGGCTAGGGAACCATTCAGGACAAACAAGTAAAGATAATTACACATGTATAAACCACAAAAATAAATATATAAAAATTTACATATAGATACATATAGATATATGTGTGTACATATCTATATATATATATATATATCATAGATAGATAAATAGCTGACAAGTAAAGTGGGGGATCTTTGAAAGGCAAAGGCCGATGCAAGTCCCGGGTGCTACGAACCAGTTGAGGGGTGCGTGCGTGCAGAAGGTTCAGGGTTTAGGGTTTAGGGTTTAGGGTTTAGGGTTTAGGGTTTGGGTTTTAGGGTGTAGAGGTTCACGCATTTGGTCCTCGAAAAAAACTGCGGACATGCGGCCGGCAGCGCATGCAAGCTCGGACAGCCAGTTGCAGTAGTGGTAGCTTGAGGAGCAGAGTTCCCGGGTACGGAGCCTTCTAGAAGGATTCCATACGTTAGTTAGGATCCTTGTTAACCCCGTTTAAGTTTAGGGTCCTTGTAGCTCTACTTGTAACTCGGGGGCCCTGCTTGTAAGGACTGTAGGGCTATCCAAAAAACCCTTCATCCTAAACTCTGAGCCTTCTGTCTGCAGGCTGCGGCTACTCGTCGTCCCATTTTTTGAAGAGCATGGCTGGTGCTCGGCTGACATACACACCCTGTGCCTCTACTACACGGGGTATATAGCATAAGGGTACTACGCCTCTGTAAGGGGTATCGACTGTAAGCGTATTATGCAAGTGGTATCCTTAGGCCTCTACAGGGGGTATCTAGACAGGGTGTCATAAGGGGCATTCTCTAATTGGGGTCCGAAAAGTACCCACAAAGGGACCATCATTTTGGAGAAATGACCATACACTGGAAGGGTGGCCTTAAAACCCTCTGAAAAATACTCCTGAATATGCTCCTCTTAAAGCCACTAGGGAAAATTAAAAATGTGGAAAGGGCCTACCCAGATACTGTGTACAACGAAGGGCCCCCCCTAGTTGTTAGTAGAGTCATAAGGAAAAAGGATCCGAACTTAGGGTATGAGTCGCTTGACTATAGTTCGTGTAGGTGGGGGGGGGGGGGCCCTCTTGTAGGGGGTCTGTAAGGGTACACAACCCACCACCAGTAGCCGCAGATTACAGATTGACAGATTGCAGCCGCCAACGGCTCTCCCCACACACAGGTTTAGGGCCTCTGGAATGTTGCATGGAAAGGAGGGCTAGGGTTAGGGTTTGGGGTTTGGGGTTTAGGATGGTTTAGGTGAGGGTTTAGGGTTTAGGTTTAGGGTTTAGGGTTTAGGGTTTGGGGTTTGGGGTGTGGGGTTTGGGGTCGAAACGGCAAGCAAGGACCTTGATTCGCAATCTGCCCACCGCCCACTAATTTTTGTGGCCTCCCATTTTGGGACTCCTTCGACCCCCACCGCCTCAAGTCCAAGACCCCAACCGCAGGAATCTCTGCGGAATTTTCTGCTGACGAGTCCCACGAGGTGAAACGAAACCGTGAAACGCTGCACCCTAAACCCGAAGCCCTATCCGCAAGCCATGCTTGAACCTAAAAGTCCGAATCTCGGGTTCGCTAGACTGCCTGCATACATTTGCTACTGCATTCTTCTTCGCTGCCGACCAGTCGCTAAATCCTCATGAACCCTACACCCTAACCCCTAAACCCCTAAACCCTACACCCTAAACCCCCCGCTAAACCGCTAAACCCTAAACCCCTAAACCCCTAAACCCCTATACACACCCTAAGCCCCTAAACCCTAAACCCTAAACCCTGAAACCTAAACCCTAAACCCTAAACCCTAAACCCTGAACCCTGAAGCCTGAGCCAAGCCTAAGCCCTCCTCACAGGCTTCGTGGTCCACGGATCGGACGTAGGCGAGATGAGACGACCTCTCTTCACGAGGTTCTGCCGCGGAACCCCAAGCGTGGGTGTACCCCTAAACCCTAAACCCTAAACCCTAAACCCTAAACCCTAAACCCTAAACCCTAAACTCTAAACCCTAAACCCTAAACCCTAAACTACCCAAACCCTAAACCCTTTGCAGGAACAGCTTGGGATATCGAGGGGCCACAGCGGGAGCGTGTACTGGCTCTTATGGCCCCTTTTGAAGTTCCCCTTGTATAATTGCAAGACGGAACCTCTCGTCTCGCGTCTAGGGTTTAGGGTTTAGGGTTTAGGGCTTAGGGCTTAGGGCTTAGGGCTTCGGGAGCAGAGACTTGAAGTATCGGCCACCCTAGACCGAAATACTGAGTCTTGTTTTGGGAGGGGTTAGGGTTTAGGGTTTAGGGTTTAGGGTTTAGGGTTTAGGGTTTAGGGTTTAGGGTTTAGGGTTTAGGGTTTAGGGTTTAGGGTTTAGGGTTTAGGGTTTAGGGTTTAGGGTTTAGGCATTGAATCAGAGTCGCGGTGGCCGCCATACTCGGCGTCGCCCCAGGTCACGATCTCCCCGTCGGATCGCACCTCGCTTGAACTCCGAGAGGAAAATCTCGGAAGAGCCGACAAATCCCGCAAGTTTAGGGTTTAGGGTTTAGGATTTAGGGTTTAGGGTTTAGGGTTTAGGGTTTAGGGTTTAGGGTCCGCCGACCCTGGTGGTGTGTTGGATGTTTTGGGGGAGGGAACCCTCCCCCCTCCCCTCCCTCCCTGTCGGTGCACAACTTTTTCATGGAGGACCGCCCACCCGGACGGCGTAAACGCACCGACCATAGGCGGTTCACCACAGGGGGTAGGGGCTCCTTTGGCAAAACCCCCTTGACCCCAACACCCACCCCCAACACCCCCCACCCCACCCCCCCCCCTACCCCAGCCCACCCACCCCCAGCCAGGCCAAGACACTTGCCCCCAAAACAGCTTGCAGAGTTTTTTAAGGTTCAGGGCGGGATTTGAGCTTTGGGCGTTGAGAGGTTTAGGGCCTCTTGGGTCGGCGGCCTGAGCCGGAGGCTCCTAAATTTAGGGTCTAGGGGATTGGGAAAGACACCCCTAGAGCCCCTAAGCCCCTAACTAATATTTCTAGAACCTTTCAAACCCTGGTAGTTACCCCGTAACCCGAAGCCCTGGCACACCTCCAGTCCGAAACCTGTAAGACTCTAACAAGGGAACCCAGATGCAAGACATCCCAAGGGCCCTTAAATCCTAAACCCCAAACCCCAAAACCCTAAACCCGAAACCCTAAACCTAAATCCTAAACCATAAACCCTAAACCCTAAACCCTAAACTCTTCCTAGGCACGGCTGCAAAGGCCAGCTTGCTGGCGCAGACCTCGGGTTCCGTGGAAGAGCTGCAAGGGAAGGAACCCAAGGGGGTGGTGTGTAAGGGAGGGTACCCCCCCAAACCCTAAACCCTAAACCCTAAACCCTAAACCCTAAACCTTAAACCCTAAACCCTAAACCCCAAACCCTAAACCCTAAACCCTAGACCCTAAACGAGGAGGAGGGGTTAAGGGGCCCGAGGGTCTTATGGGGTTTAAGGCTTATCTTGGGACATACGGGGCCATGTTACCCGACCATCTCCTCAGGGGGCTTAAGGGCTTTATGGACTTTTGGCTTCGGGTCAAGGGGCTTACCCAAAGGCTCCAATGTAGCTCCTTTTTGGGTTAGTTATAGGGGATTCTAATATACTACCCCAAAAAGGTACTACATAGGAGCCTTTGAGTACGCTTTATTGAGTCAGGCCTTGAAATGCGGGCGATGCCGAAAGCGCCGTTCAGGAAGAAACCTTGACCCAGAGGGTCCATTTGTAGTACTATTATGGAATTAGGTACCCCAAACCCTGTTTAGTATGGCTTTTGGGTACCTAATTCCATAATAGTACTACAAATGGACCCTCTGGGTGAAACATAATTGGGACCCAATTCCCTAAAGAGCCCAAGCCGGGAGGCGCTGAGTAAACACACTAAACCCTTGGGGGTTTAGGGTTTAGAGGGTTTAGAGGGTTTAGGGGGTTTAGGGGGTTTAGGGGGTTTACTGGAAGGCTTGCCTAAACCCAAAGCCCTAAACCCTATTCCTAGAAGCGTTGGGAGGCTGGAGGTTTGGCAGGCCTGGCATGTTCATGACACGCAGGGTGACATTCTTCTGAACCCGAAAAATGCCGACAGCTGGCTCTTAGGGTGAACCATAAACCCGAAGTCCCAACCCTAAACCCTAAAACCTACACCATAAACCCAACAAACCCAACAAACCCGATAAAACCTAAACCTTTAGGGCAAGGCACCTGCTCGATGTTCACGAGGCGTGCCTGCAGTTCTGGGTCATCGCATCCATCGTCCGTGTGTCCCCACGTGATGACCTCCGCTTGCAAAGCAAACTTGGAGGGTTTAGTTTAAGGTTTAGGGTTTCGGGTTTAGAGGGTTCGGCGGCTTCAGGTTCATTGCATAAGATGTAGTTTACAAGTTACAAGGAGGGCCACCCCTAGTAAGAAGTAGAGTTATAAGGACCCTAGATTGGCTTGTAGGGATCCTAACTTGGGCTATAAGTCCCTTCACTATAGTTAGCATAGTAATGGGGACCCTCCCTGTAGTTTAGAGTTCCGGACCTATCTTAGCCGGCTTCAGGATTCAAAGTCCGGGCGAGGTGCCCCAAGAACCTACAAAAACAACACAACATGGTACCCGCTGCGGCGTTAGTGGGGCTTCGCCCTATACTTCCAGGGACCTTATCCCCACCCAAAGGTAACCTAGGAAAGAAAAGGGTGCCCGTCTCGGCTTAAAGGGGATTGCAAGGGAAACCTAAACTCTAAAAAACGGGAACAAGTGCCTAGTCTGGGTCCTAGTCATCCTGAATCCTAAACCCTAGGGCCCTTAGAGGCAGAATGATTAAGACCCTACGAAGTATAGTGAAACTTTACACGGGCTAAGGCCGCAGAGAGCAAGTGACCCGACCGTCACCGCGCAAGGCAGCGAAAGACGACTGGCTAGCGAAGAGCTCCTTGACGTCTCTCAGGCCGTCCTGCAAGGAAGCTCTTTGTTTAGGGTTTAGGGTTTTGGAGGTGCTCGTAGGGCGGTCAACTACGCAGCCACTTTTTGGCTGGAGTTTGGTCCAAGTCCAAGGCACCTGCGGATTCGCAGGGTGTCTGGGATCTTATTGGGCTTGCGAAAACAAGGAAGTACGATACGACCTCGGCTACTGTTTAACCGGGCGTAACTAGGGTGAGTTTCACACCCGTCTTATCTCGAAGTCGTATCGACTCCATGAAGAAGGAAGCAAAATTAGTTGTCTCACGTTCGTGGTCCATATGTGTCAGCTCATACTCATCCTCCCACTTCGTCATCCGTAGCCATCGAATCGAAAGTTCATACTTGCACCGTAGCCATTGTAACCAACCATTGCAAGTAGGCCTGTGTCACAACGCGGAATCAATGTGGAAATCGCTGAATTTCTCGGATGAAGAAGGAAGAATAGCATCATCATTTCGATGAATACTTTCCAAGAGAAAAACACAACACCATCTAGATGAGTCGAGCGTGATAGCCTCAATCGGGGCGTCTTCGCCCGTCTTATCTTCAGCATAGCTTTCAGCTGTGAGAATGATATCACTCTCAACGTTCAAGCCACAGATGCTTTGCTCCTTTTCGTGCACCGAAACACCAGAAGCGACTGGCTTTCTCGACAACCTAGCAACAGAATCTGCCAATGCTACTGTACCATCACTGCTAGGCGTGTAAACATTGAATCCTTCTGGCGATGACATGATCTTGGCATTGAATAACACTCCTTCTGGCGATGACATGATCTTGGCATTGTCTGAATAACACTTTCTGAGGTGTAACCGACCTTATCGACGCCGCCTTCGGAGATCGTTGTCTCGGGCATCGGTACCTGAACAAACAGGTAGAGAAACAGGTTCTGCACATAAGAGATGGATGCAACTTCACAGGATGCACAATCACTGCGGGCAATCATGTGTACCGCTCGATTTCGAGGAGGAAGGTCCAGGGGTCTTATGCCCCGTAGGTTCGCTCTGGCCCCTTCGCTGAACCGCCGTGTCGGGCCTCATAAACCTCGAAGTGCACCGTTTAGGGTTAAGAGTTTGGGTTCTGGCTTTATGGATTCAAAAAAGGAAGTTCTGCGTGCAGAGTTTGACTTCAAGGCCTACGTCCTCTTGCGCGCTTGGCCTCTTACGGCAACTTCAGGCGGGTTTCGAGATTACATCTGAGAGGGCGGGGGCTGATCCAGGGCGCAAGGGACTGGCCTTTCTTGGTCTGGGCCAAAACGGCAAGCTCGATGCCTCCTCCCCAGGCTTGAGCAAGGAGGTCCTGCGCGTACGTCCCCACCCCGACGTTCGCATCCATTCGGATCCAGTCCGACAGTGCCATGTCCACCATCCGCCTGGGTGGCTGTGGGTTAAGGGTTCCAACAGCCCCTCGAAGTCCTTGAGGCTTGGCTTAAGCCCCAGCCCTACCTGAAGCCTTGCCCCAGCCCTACCTGTTTGCCTTGCTGTTTTCGTTTTCCTGTTTTTTTTTTATGAATGCTGTCATTAAATTCATGCTTATCAGTACTTTGAAAATCGTCATTCTGCGTAATTCAACACAACCCAATCACATGTGTGTATACATGTATGGAGGTCGAGCTCTCGCAACGTGACCCACCATCTCTTCACACTTCACACGGTTGATGTAGGAGAGCATGCTTTCGTCACTCTGCCGTGAGCGGGGACCATCCTGCTGTTGCCCGACTCGAAAGAGCTCTAAGGCTTCCTCGCTTTGCAGCGGGAAAACTTGCCTCTGGCTGGCCTCAATCAGATGGTCTATGCCATCGTAGTCCTCAGACGTGGCTCAGGTTGGGGAAGTAAAAAGGGCGATGCGGGGCTTGCCCCTACCTAGCTACGGGCAGAATTCAAGTGTAACTAGATTTGGGAGAGACAGACCGCCTGGCCCCTGGCGCTTCGCAACCGACCGTCGTCCTTATGAACGAGGTGGTGCTCCGCTCAAAAAAATAACCCTCTATATATAGTAGGACTCCATATAGCCAAAAAGGTTAGAGTTCACCTACCCAGTCCCTAAGACCTCTTGCCCACGCCTCATGTTTGCGGGAAAGGTGTCTTTCTAGGCGTTCTACCTTGGACCCTTAAGGTTGTACTATCGGGTTTTGGGGTCTCTTTTTAAGGATCCCTAAGGTACTGAGGGAATATGAGGGCCATATTAGGACTACATTAAGGGGAACCTTTAGGGGCAGGACCTTAGGGGGACGAGTCTTCATCCCTTGTGTCTAGCACCTCCGGGCTCCTGCACGGAGCTACGCCGCAGTGAAGCGGGGCCGTAGGGCTTCGGGCACCCTAAACCCTAAACCCTAAACCCTAAACCCTAAACCCTAAAACCCCGAAGCCCTGAACTTCAGTAGGTCCTGCACGGCCCCGGCGTCGCCACCGTGTCTCTCGGATCCCCAGGTGACGACTGTGCCATCGGAGCGAAGCGCGGCGTAAGCCGACCTTTAGGTTTAGACTTTAGACTTTAGACTTTAGGGTTTAGGGTTTAGGGTTTAGGGCGAGTATTGGGTTCAATTTAGGGCGTCGGGTTCAAGCCTTGGGGGTTTAGGGGTTATAGGGTTTCTATCCAGGCCTTGGTAGCCCTCCTCGATTTTCAGAGGTTTACCGTTGGCAGGCTTGCTGTAAGGCAGTAGGGCTTAAGGTAGGGCTTAAGGCTTGGGGCTCAGGGTGTCTCGGGTTGATTCGGGCTTTGAGTCTGAGGGCGTTTTAAGATGGATTGAAGATTTAGGTTTGCACCCGCTTTAGTATTAGCTGCTAGCAGGGGAAGTTCCGGAAGAATTATAGAGGGCACCCCGAAAAATAGGGGATTATAGGAAGTTGCTCGCCTGGGGGTGCTGATTTGGGGGGAAAACGACACAAAAAAAAACCGAAGGCTTGTTTCTTTGGTCTCGGCTGAGGCAAAAGTCGCCAGACCCCGGCCCCGTTTATGGAGGACACGCAACAACCCCAAAATTGTTTGGGGGGGGGGGGTTACGGTTGAAGTCCCAGAGAGTCCATGCTTGGAGGGGGGTTTAGGGTTTAGGGTTTAGGGTTTAGGGTTAAGGATTTAGGGTTTAGGTGTTTAGGGTTTAGGGTTCAGCCAAGGTTCTCAGTGCATGCCATTTGCCTCACGTCGACAAGCTGCTCTTTCACCTGAACTGCGATGCGTATGACGACGCAGGGTTTTGGCTTAGGACAACTCACCTCCCATACTTGCAGATTGACCTCCCTAAACCCTAACCTCCCAACTCTCAACCCCTAAACACCCCAATGGCTTACCCTAAACCCTAAACCCGAAACCCTAAACCCTAAACCCTAAACCCTACATGGCTTAGGAACCCGAACAACAAGAATGTCAACGGGGTTTCACAATGCTGCTGCAGGCACACTGCTGCAGTCTCCTCCCCGGGCAGGATCGCCCCAGGCCACCACCCCACGCACGACCTCCAAATTCCTGAGTTAGGGTTTAGGGTTTAGGGTTTAGGTTTAGGGTTTTTAGGGTTTCGGGTTTAGGGATATTGGGGGTTTCCGAAATTAGGGGTACCTTCGCGGGGTCCGTTTTTCTAAGGGAATCCTACTATTTGGGGACTGTATTCGGAGTCCCTTATTTTCGTAAACCCCCGAATCAAAAGCCCGGTCGCTTAGAGATTGGTGCTTCGCCTTTGCGCTTGAGGGTTATTTGCCTCACAACAAGCGAACCAAAAAAAGGAGGGACAAGAGACCCGATAAACTCCAAACCCCCAAGCCCTGAACCACAAACAATAGAGCCGTACACCAAACCCTACACACCAGATCCCCGGCCCTAAACTCCAAACCCGAAACCCAAGCAAACCCTCATCCCAAACCCCTAAACCCTACAAAACCCAAACTTGGGATGTTCCCCCTTATACTAACAGTCCTTAATAGGGACTATATGGGGTACAAAACTCCCTAAAAAGGACTGTTCGTATAAGGGGGACCATCCCAAACCAGATGCCGCCGGAGACCCTAAACATGCAACCCTAAACCCGAAACTCCCAAAAGATCCTGAACCCTAAACCCTGGAACTCCAAAAAGATCCTGAACCCTAAGCCCTGAACCTAAACCCCTAAACCCCTAAACTCCCTAAACTCCCTAAATCCTAAACCCTAAACCCTAAACCCTAAACCCTAAACCCCTAAACCCTAAAACCCCTGATCTCCTCATGCCAGGCCAAGGTTCAAGCCAGAGTCGCTGGCGCCGATGTGGCATTGCCTTACTGTTGCTTAGTAGGGAATGAGGGAATGAGGCACCCCATATAATCCCTTAAAAGGGTATGTATATATATATATATATATATGTACATATATGTATATACACATAAAATGTATATAGGGATTCTATAGGGTACCCTATAAATACCCTTTAAGGGATTATATAGGGTACTCGATATAGTCCGTTTAAGGGTAATATATATATATATATATATTTATATTTATATTTATATTTATATAATTATATATATATATATATATATGCAGGGGGGGATATCGGGTACCTCATTCCCACATTCCCTACTAAGCAACAGAAAGTTGCACGGTCGACGCCGCAAAGCAGGCTTTCGAGGCGGTGATGCTGCGCACGCCCGTGAGTCCTTGTAGGGTTTAGGGTTTAGGGTTTAGGGCTTCGGGCTTGGGTTTAGGGTTTAGGTTTTAGGGTTAGGGTATAGGGTTGAGGGTTTGGGTTTATGGTTTAGGGTTTAGGGTTTAGGGTTGAGGGTTTTGAGGGTTTAGGGTTTAGGGTTTACGGTTTACGGTTTCGATTCTCCGTCACGTTGTCCGAATGCATGGCAAACCAGCAAGCGCAAGCCTTCCCCCCACCCTCAAGAAAAGAACAAGAAACGCTGTGGCGGGGAACAGGTCAAGAAAGGCCCTGACGGCACTACAGGCCCCGAGCCTTAAGCCCTGAACCCTAAACCCTAAACCCTGAACCCTAAACCCTAAAACCTGAACTCCAGAAACACTGGCATGAAGAGAAGAGTCGGTCTTGAACGGTGCTGCTGTCACCGCCAAACCTCTGCATGTCCACACTCACAGGGGGGGTGGGGAACGTTACCGGGTTAGGGCTTGTAGTAAGGTTTTAGAGTTTAGGCTTTGTAGGGATGAGGGCTTATAGGGTTTAGGGCTTAGGGCTTCAGTCATGAAATCTCCACCTAAACCACTCACCCTAAACACTAAACCCTAAACCCTAAACCCTAAACCCTAATTTGGGGGGGGGGGGGGGGGGGCATGCCCGGCTTAGGAGCCCCAAGTAGACTTCGACTTGAACTCTGCAACCCGCCCTGGGGCTCTTTTTACCTACAGCTCTCTGACACCTACTAATTTGGGGTTTCGGGTTTAGGGTTTTAGGGTTTAGGGTTCTCCGGGGGGGGGGGGGGGTGTAATTCTACTACTAAGCTGTAGGGTAAACGGAGTGCCTGCCAAACGTGCAACATGGTGCCAATAAGGGGTTCGTGGTAAGTATATACTGTATAGGTAAGCAGAGTGGTAAACAGAGTCCCAGGTAAACTCAACTTTCAGATGCATACTTGTTTTATAAACTGTGAGTCTGTTGAAAACAAACACTTAATTCAACCATTAAAGGTAACAGCAGGCTACTTGGATTTTCAGGGTACGTAAGTACTCTATTTGATAGGGCTCTAATTGGGTTATAAGTACCAATCTACTTGGGTTACTAAGTACCCTGAACCTCCAAGTTTCCCTAAACCCTAAACCCTAAACCCTAAACCCTAAACCCTAAACCCGAAACCTCCAAGTATTTCTACCTCCGCCAAGAAGCGCAGGATCTCCCCAAGTGACGACGGAGCCGTCGTCCCGCACGGCCGCAAAGGCGCGCTTGGATGCGGCCAGCCAGGACACCTAGGCTGCCCTGTTTAGGGTTTAGGGTTTAGGGTTTAGGGTTTAGGGTTTAGGGTTTAGGGTTTAGGGTTTAGGGTTTAGGGTTTAGGGTTTAGGGTTTAGGGTTTAGGGTTTAGGCTAGTGGAGGTTCAGGGTACTTAGTAACCTATGATAAGTGTAGTCATAACCCACATATAAGCCCCCTAAGTACCCAAATGGGGGTTATAGTTGGGTTACATGTACAGTTATGATGGGGTTACTAAGTACCATGAACCTCCAAGTAAGCCCTAAACCCTATAAACCCTAAACCGGTCCTAAACCCTGCAAACCCCGAACCTTAAGAACACAAACGGTTTAAGGTTAAGTCAAGGCCTTGGGGTTTAGAAGGGAACGACTACCTTCCCCTAAGTGTCCTTGTGCCTACATAGCAAACACACTTGGGCCCTAAAGGGGTTCCGAAAAAGCAGCTTTGGGGTCCAAGCATGCACTAACCCTAAACCCTAAACCCTAAACCCTAAACCCTAAACCCCAAACCCTACGGTATATCCTATGTATGTACATGGACCCTTATATGGGTTCTAAGTAGGAGCCTACAGGATGGACCACGGGATGCTTCTGTCCCTTAACCATGGGGGGGGGATCCTTGCTAAAAAAAGGGGAACCTGCCTTGAGGCTAGGGTTTAGGGTTTAGGGTTTAGGGTTTAGGGTTTAGGGTTTAGGGTTTAGGGTTTAGGGTTTAGGGTTTAGGGTTTAGGGTTTAGGGTTTAGGGTTTAGGGTTTAGGGTTTAGGGTTTAGGGCAATTTCCAACTAGCCACCGAAAAGGATTACCCGATTCAGACTGAAGCTGCGCATCGTAGCTTCTGTTGGGCCGCGCTGCTGTCTCCGCCTGGGTTTAGGGTTTAGGGTTTAGGGTTTAGGGTTTAGGGTTTAGGGTTTAGGGTT